TAAGCGACTGCCTTCGGCTCAGGTCATGATCCTGGAGTCCCGGGATCGAGTCCCGCATCGGGCTCCTTGCTCAGCGAGGAGTCTGCTTCTCCCTCTGACCCTCCTCCCCTCATGCTTTCTCTCTCTCTCAAATAAATAAATAAAATCTTTAAAAAAAAAACAAAAAACAACCCCCTGAGCTTATTTCATGGAGCCCAGCATTTCTCGAGGGCCCACGTCAGAGACCCGGTGTGGGGCCGGTGGGGAGTGGGTGTGCCAGAGCCCCGCCTTGGGCCCACCTGGGGGGCAGCTGGAGGGCGTCTGCGCACCCAGCCATGCGGAAGACAGAGGTCTCTGCCCCGGCGGCTGGATGCTTCCAGAAGGTTCACAGAGCGCTACGCCCCTCCACAGTGTCCCTGGCCAATAGGCATGCAGTCCTGCCGGCTCTGAAAACTCTGAATCGGGCCCACGGGAAGTCACTGAGGTGATCGTGGCCACCATGGGCCACCCCTGCTCCAGGTGGGGGCCTTGCCCAACTTGGCCCCTTCCCTACAGCCACCAAACCTTCCCCATGGGGGGCCTTGGCAGGACGATGCTCTGCCTCAGCTCATGGGACCAATTGGAAAGATTCTGTGAACTCACACAGGTTTTTACAGCTGGCGAGGGTGCTTGTGTTTTAGCCATAGTGCATCCCACAGCACAGGAAGAGGCTGCCATGGCGGGGGGGGGGGGGGGCGTCCAGCCGGCCCCACCGGGAGCTCTGACAGGGAACAGACCCTGGGAGGCCCATGCGTACGAAGAGGGCACCATCTGGGCTCTCTTGAACACCGGGAGCTGCCAACACTGATGGAGTGGGTCCTGCACCAGACCCACGTTTTACCCAGCAGCTCACAACGCCCGCCGCGATGTGGGCACCCCTGCCGCCCCCAGGCACGTGGAGAAACGGAGGCTCAGAGAGTGACTCGCCCAAGACCACTGGTGTGTGGCTGAGCAGAGCTGGAGCCCAGTTCTGGGTCCTCATGTGTGGCTAAAAGGTGGTAGGGGAGGGGGGTCCGAGAGCCCAGTCAGGGGTGGGGGCTTCACACAGCCAGGCTGGGTCATCCCAACAGGTCCCACCCTTGCAAAGTCACAGCCCCACGCAGAGAAGCAAGGGCACTGGTGTCTCGAGAGCTCAGGCTGCTGGTCTGCTTGGACATCCTGGGACTTGGCCCTGATGTTTAGGGCAGTTTCCCAGGGAACCTCACTGTTGGTGTAAGAAAGCAGGACCCCCCCCCCCAGGCAACCCCTTCCCCATTTACCCTCACCCCGCGAAAGCCTCTGTTGTGGGAAGCTGAGCCTGAACGGGTCCTACTCCTCCCTGGCACAGCCTGAGCCATCCCTGACCTTCCCACAGCCCAGAGCCTGCCCGTCCGCTGCTCTGGGGGCCCCGACTTGTCCCCTCTCCCACTTCTCATTCCCTAGAGGGAGCCCAGGAAGTGCACTTAAAAACAACCCTTTGGGGGCACCTGGGTGGCTCAGTCGGTTGAGCGTCAGACTCTTGGCTTCGGCTCAGGTCATGATCTCAGGGTCGAGGGATCGAGCCCCGTGCTGAGTGTGCTGTCTGCTTAAGATTCTCTCTCTCCTCCCTCTGCCCCTCCCCGCTGCGCACTTGTGTGTGTGTGTGTGTGTGTGTGTGTGCGTGCTCTCTAAATAAATAACTCTTAAAACAAACAACCCAACAAGACACCTGGCAGGGCCCAGGACGGCTTGGGGCTGAGGAACCCGTGGGCTACTCGGCCCCAACCTTGCCCCCAGCCCCAGCCCAGGCCCCAACACTTGGGACTCTCTATGGCCTCTTCTCAGAGCTCCAGGAGCCAGTCCTGAACGGGACCTGGGTCAGTTCACCAGCAGAACCTTTTCTTGGAGCTGGGTGTGTCTAACAGCCAAGTGGAGCTTTTCTCCAGGGGGTCCGGGGTGGCCCTCAGGGTTTGACCCCACACCTGCCCTCCCCACTCTCCACAGCTGTCCCTGAGGAAATTTCACAGATCACAGCTGGGGAACCAGAACCTCCCATTTGACACCCAAGGTAACTGAGGCACAGACAAGGCATGAGAGTGACCACTGAGGCTGCAACCCATTATTAACCCCCAGCACCCAGTGTCAGCACCGACCTGCACTAGCGAGGGAGATAAAACGACCCTGCCCCTCCCGTCTCTCACGCACACACACCAGCCCCCCTGGGGGACGGAAGCAGGCTCTGCACCTGCTCTGGTCCGCACACGGGCGCACCCTCTCCCCGCACCTGCCCGCAGAGAGGCCCAAAGCCAATCCACACTGCCTTTTCTTGACCCTGTTCTCTCTAGACAAGACCAAGGGGAACCAAGGCTTCTTGCTGCAGATGGGGCTGGAGAGGGTGCAGCCATGGGCTCTGACCCTCTGAGCCTCAGTCTTCCCCCTCCCCCTGCAGGGGGGATGTCTTCTAGCCCCTTTCTCGGGTCTACGGGGGAGAGGAAGTGCCCATGAGACCATCTCTATTCCTGTGTGAAGAGGGGGGTGACTCTCCAAACCCCTAGCACTGCACGGGCAAAGGTGAGATAGCTGGGTGAGGGCCCCCGAGACCGGGGGAATGCCTCTGTGCTTCGTCCCCAGCCTCACCTGAGCGGCTCCCCCCAGACAACAGGGCGGCTGCAGCCTCACCCAGCACCTGCTCCCCTCACTGCCCTGCTCACTCTCGGTGGAGGGAAAATCTAGGCCAAGCGAGGAGTAGAGGCTGGGGGCCTGGCTGGGCTGGTCTCCCCACAAGTGCTCCTCAGATATGGTGCGGGGTCCCCAGGCACGGGCAGTGGGATGGGAGGACAGGAGAGACAGGGGCAGGGGGCCCCTGGGGCTGCAGGCTGCTAGATCGGCCAGAGCGCCAGTACCCAGATAGATGCTTCCCCCCCGTGATGGGCGCCTGCCTCCCACCTTGGCCCGAGCGGGGAGAATACTCTGCGTGCATTCGGCCCAACCGGGCACCTCATCTTGGCTCAGCCGTGCAGATCCTCGCACCTGGAGCAGACCCCAGGGTCGCTCCATGATCACAGGGCAGGCCGAGTGAGTAACCGAGGGGTGAGCACCCTGAGATGTGTGTCCTTCTTTCCCAAATGGGTGTCAGGCGCCCAGGCCGGCGCTGGGGTTGCGGTGGTGGGAAACACCAGGCTTCCCTTCTAAGGAGCGCATCGGCTGTGCTGCAGGGGACGTGGGCTTGAGGGGGGCTCGGCCAGGCCAGGGGCTCCGAACCCCTTCCACGTTCCCTCCTGTTGCCCCGCTCAGCCCCCCTCGCGAGGCTCCCGAGCTGGCGACCCACGGCGGCCCCTCACACGACTTCGCACCTGACGGGAGGGAGGGAGGGAGAGGCAATGGCTTCACAACGGGAATCGCGCTGCCTGAGCTGGTGCGGCTCGGGCGGGTGAGGCGCGGACACCGGCCCCTGCTCCAAACAGTGAGGCAGACCGCTGGCACTAAGGGTGGGCGTGCCATCCACGCCTCTTCCAAGGGACTTGAGGGTCTGAGCCCGCGATTTATAGCTAATGATGCTGCCCGCTCTCCTCCGAATGAGGCGGGCCTCTGGGCAAAGGGCAGCCCCCTCTGCTCCGCTCATCAGACCACATCCTGTTTGTGCTGGGTCTTTTATCAACGCAGTCAGCACTGCCCCGTCCTTCACCACCGGAGTCCCCAATGGAATCCCAGGGTCAGGAATGTGCAGCAATCAGAGGGCAGAATGGCAGTCCACCCAGGGGGCCGATATAAAGCAGGAGAACCCGGGATCCACACCTCCCAGACAAGACCCCAGAGGCGCCCTGCCCAGCAGCCTTCCCGGGGAGCAAGCCCGCGGCTCGGTGAGTACAGCGGCTCCGTCCTTAGCGGGAGCCCCGCTGCCTAGGGTCCTCTCCCAGGTCAGGAGCTGCACGGGCCCCGGAGGTGGAGACCAGCAGCTCCTCTTGCAGCCCAGATTGGCCGCAGCTGGCCTTGAGGGCTCAGCCCTGGTCTCCACCGTGTGCTTCCCCTGCCACGTCCTGACTGCTGGGGCCTAATTTTTGGTGGCGAGTGTCTCAAGCTTCCACCATGTTCCTGAAGGGGTCCAGGACCCCCCCAAAGGGGACAGGAGCCACTTCCTTCTGTGCATCAGTGCACCCTTTCTCGAGACCCAGAGGCCTAGCCCCCAGGTGGAAAGCGCCACCCCCGCCCCTGCCCGGGAGCTGATGGAGAGCCTTCTGCACCGCAGGCCAGACTTGGCTCCAGCCCCGGGGCGATCAGATGATGGAAGTTAGGAGGGCTGGATTTGGGTAGGGAGGAGGGCCGCTTTTATGATTTTTTTTAAAGCCTTCTGGCTGAGTTCACTTTGAAATGTCTTCAAGGGAGCCATTTTTGGGAAGAGCTCTGGGGAGCCCATGCTTCTTCTCCAGAACCAGCTCTTTCTTCTAGGCTCCGTTCTACTCAGAGCTACAGCTGGCTCCGACTCACGATGGTCATTACCGAAAGGCTTCCTTTGAGAGGGAGCATTGTTGCCGAAGCAGGGGCATTTTGGGAAGCTCTATTTCGGTTTCCAATCCACCCGGACCGCCATCCGTGGGGTAGAGTAGTGACTCCGAGTCACTTAGACCTGGGCCTGTATCCCAGCTCTGTCACTTGTAACGCTGTGAGATCCTGGGCCAGTCCCGTTTGCGCACGCCCCCGCCTCCCCCCTCCCCGTAGAAGGGGGTTAGGACTGCCCTGCGGGAGGGCTGTGAGGACCATCCCAGACAGGGCCAGGGAGCACTGCCCACAGGCCTGGCACGCCAAGAAGCTGTCTGGGCGCTAGAATCCTGAATCTCAGGGCCTCCATTGCCAGCTCTGTGGCCCAGGTGCCACCTCTTAGCCTTCCTGACAGTCTTCTTGCCGGAAGACCTGGGACGAACAGGGCCTAAAATGAAGGGTATTGGTGACGAGGACATGCAGCCGTGCACACGGACGGTGCTCTGTGGGGACCCTCGACAGCCCGGCCGTGTCCACATGCTCCTCCCCAGGAGGAGGTCTGAGTTAGGCCAGGAACATCAAGTCCGTTTCTTGCTTCCGGGAGCAACTCGTTTCCATGTTAAAGAGACATGAGCAGAGTGTCCCAGTGACACAGCTTCGCCAGACCCATTTATTATCAAGTTGAAAACTAAGAGAGATTGATGCTATGAATTTTCTACCCCATGGCTCTGAGACGATATGGCCCAAAAGTCAGTAATTATAATAAAAAAAGAACGAGCCCAAATTTGCACAGCACTCAGGGGCTGCCGGGGCACGGCTGTAAGCTGTCCCGGCAGTGGGGGGATGTGAATGCTAAGCTGCCAAGGCCGTCAGATGCAGGGGACTGCAGGAGAGGAGAATCAGCCTAATTGGCGCGATCAGCTCCTGGGCCTAAGAAAATAAAGGCCTGATCCCCCAGCATAGTGACACTTCCTCAAGCTGCTTGCAAGTTGGGCTCAGTGGAGCCACCAGCCTTTGATGGCTGCCCAGGCCCTGGGAAGCACTGTTGACAAGTTGTTGTGCAAACCCACGCGTGCAGCTGGTAACTTCTTCCTCTCTTTCCTCTGGGCCAGATGATAGGCCCTCACGCCCTGTCGTGTCTCCTCCTCCTGCCACTGGGTGCCTGCTTTCCTCTGTTGGACAGAGAAGAGCCCATGGCCACCGTGCGAGGTGTCAGAGGTGGAATGAGCTGGGCCGACCTGCCCGGGGGACACCGCGTCCCCCTCCCCCGGGGCTCCTCGCGGTGGCCGAGAGCCCCACAACCTCATGGCCTGCTTGTCATGGCCAAGGAGCTGCAGACGTCGGGCCAACAGCACGCTGGCTTCAGGTTCCGGTTCGGGAGGCAGGATGATGGCAGCGAGGCTACTGGCTTCCTCCCCGCGGATGGTGAGAAGGCCAGCGGCCCGTTAGGGACCCTGGCCGAGGAGCTCAGCAGTTATAGCAGAAAAAAAGGTGGCTTCAGCTTCCGCTTCGGCCGGCGGTGAGGGGGCCGGGGTGTCCGTGGACCCTCCCTGCTACCACTCCTGCTCCTGTCTTCTCCTTGAGCCTGAAAGACCAGGATACGAAGAAGGTATGGGGATCATTATAATGAATTCTTAGCAGTAGGATCACTTAGGCGGGTGCTTGCTTTTGATTTCCAACTTTGCCGAGACAAAGACCTGGATGGTATCAAAAAGGAGGTGGCCCAAAGCAAGCTGCATCCCAGTGAAGAAGAAAGCGCTGCCCTTTCCTCTGTTGGACAGAGCTGTCCCAGCCGCCTTCCCTGTCGTCTGGCTCTGAGCAGTCCCCTGGCCCAGCGGCCCGCAGCCGTGGCCGCTGCTGGGCCATGAATATGGACAGGCAGGGCTGGCTGTGTCGGCTTCAGGCTGAAGGTAGGTGGGCTGATGATGGCCATGGGGTAATCAAAGTTTTGACAGTCTCCACAGGGACGCCTGTAGCTGACATCCGAAGTGCAACTCTGAGGGAGCACGTCCCACCGGCTAGAGAGGATGGTTCTTAAAGTTTAAAAAAAAAAAAATCTTGTTCTCCAGCCCATTAACACAAGATCCCTCTGGCAAGAAAACCCCGCTGTGGCGTCAAGATGTCATTTGGAACCGGCTGCCCATTCCCTTCTAATAACTGTCCTCGGTGGTACAGTGTTTGCCAAGCCAGGAGTCTAGTGGGAGACGAACAAGGAAGGAATGCATTTTTGCTCGAGCAAGGTTGCCTTTCAAATGTTCAGAATATGAATGTGTTGTGTGTATCCTTTGAAATAAAAGTTGTACTGCAAAACCGTAATGGAAAGCTCACCTGACTCTTGCCTGCAGGTCCTCTGTGCCCCAGGAGTTCGGTTTTCCTGAGCTGCCAGTGCCTTAACTCGGGGGAGATGGAAATCATGTTGCCTGTATCCACACCTGTCCCAGCAGCCCCTTGATTGGCAGTTGGCGAAATACCCATGGTCGAAGGCAGAGGGAAACACAAGACGGGGTGTATTTTCCTCCTGTGCTTGGCTGCTCCTTCCCTGGTTTTCTCAAAGCAAAGAGCATTCTGAAAACAACTTCTCCACCCCAGGGGAGGCCAGCGCTCAGCCTGGAGTGGCTGCAGGCCCGGGGCGAGGCAGAGCATCTCTTTCAAACGCTGCTCTGCTGTGTCCTGCATCCCATCCCGTGTCAGATACGGCAGTCTGATGCTGCTTACTCCCAGGCTGGCTTCGACCGCTGAGATGAGAACCTAGATTGATGTTACTATGGCAACATCTCCCCTCCTCCTTTCGAGCTGCTGCTTGGCCCTGTTCACAATTGAATAATTTTCCATTGAGCTGTCACAATTAATTGGTGGATTTTTATTAGCCTTTTAGAACCACACTGGGTTGGGCCCAGCTTGGCACCTCGGAGCATTTCACAGTGTTTTCCATTCTATTAGTGACTTACCTTCCCCAGTAGCAGCTCTCAATCCCCGGCAGCCAGAAAGCCACTTTATTAAGGGGTGACAGATCTGAGCCACAAAAGAGCCAAGCTGACTGGGAGTGCGGAAATTGGGTGGTAGGATGGGCCAGGAAGACAGGAATCAGAACATCACCTTATGCTAAAGCGAGCTGCCTTCTCCTGGAGCTCCTCACTGCTTCTCCCCTACGCCTGGGCACATGGCCCCACTGAGAGAGGGGCCAGACAGCGACATCGAGTCTGGGAGGCACGTTATACGCTCTTTGGTCTCCACCACTGTCTGGGGAAGGGATGAGCCAGGATGCCTCCCGCTAATGGGCAGCCTGACGGGGATGGAACACATCCTGGGGTCCTCGTCTGTTGATAAAAGAGGCAAACACTCAACCCTCAAGCCACAGAGGGCAAACCTCAAGAAAATGAGTCCCAGCATGTCCATAAAGGACGGCTCTAGCTCTGAGAATAGACACCATAGGGTGGCCAGGTGAAGGAGGTGTGATCCCAGCCCAGGCTCTCACCCCAATGGGTGCTCGTTTCTACTTTGTGGGGGGCAGGGGTTGGGGGGGTGAGGTGGGGGCAGCATGCTGGATCACTCCTCCCTTCGCTCATTCACAGAGAAGCCAGAGAATGGGCTTGTAGAAAGACCAGGTGAGACAGGACACAGCAAAGGCCAAGGGCAGAGGGACGCCCTGCAGCAAGGTCCCCTGGTGAGACCCCCCTTGCCAATTTCTATTCTTAGAATAAAAGAATAGACGCCTCCGTGGTCACTAATTACAAGAACTTGGAGGTCACCAAGGCTGAGATACTCCTGCATGTGTTTACACACACTTTGGGAACATACTGGCTGGTTTTTAATTTCGTAGGAGGAGATGAACCTCAGAGAAATCAGAGATAAAGAAGGGGGGAGAGGAGAGCCTTCAGAGGAGTGGATATCCTGTCATTAGGCTTTCATCATTCAACAGCAATCAACAACAAAGTTATTCTTTCCAGTTGCTTGTACATTTGAGCTCAATAACCCTGAAAATCCAAACGATCAAACTGTTACGGGCATTGCTCTGTTAAATCCACTCCCGCCGTATCTGGCTACATCTCCTCTTTAACCCTCGCCCCACCCCAGTGAGGCTTGCTCGAGGTTTGGGGCCCTGTCACGCCACCCCCACACCCTTGGTGGGGAAGATCACTCTCCAGATTAGTGAAGGTGAGGCTCTTCGGAAAACACTGACTTTGCAAGCACAGATTAAGCTCCCCTGAGCAGTCCGGGTTTGCTCCACCTGGCGTGGCAATGCGGTCTCCAGCCCAGGAGCCTGAGAGCTGTCTGCATCCTCTCACTGTGTTTTTCCAAGACACAAAAAAAGCCTTCATCTTGGGCTGCAGATCTAAAAGCATTTAGCTATTAAACTGACTGGGGAATATTTTTGCTTATATTTTCCCATGTTTGAAACATTCACAAAAACGTAAGAAAGAAAGAGGCTCATGGGGCAGCAAGCCACCAGGCACCTGCTGTAGTAAACAAGCCGCCACCTTGCCCTCACTTTGTCCCCGGGCCGGAGACACTGCATGACAGAGTCCACTGAAGACCCCAACTCAGAAAAGATGCTGTCACCCTCCGAGCAGGAAGCTGGGGCTCCGCCCAAGAAGTTGGGAAGCCGTCGGGTGAGGGCAGGCATGGACAGACACCGTGGTTGGTCCGTCTTGTCCCACCTGATGCCTTCTGTGCCGAGAACATTGAAAAATCGATTCCCCAGGACACTCAATTTGGGAATGCCTCCTGTAACATATCCTGACACCAGAGAAGTTGGGCCAGCTGTAATTCTTGACTTCTTCTACTCCATGACAGGGGGAGGAGCCGGACTCTGGAGCACAGAGCTCTGCTGGTCATGCTGGGGCCGTCTGCACTGCCATCAAGTTAGTCCAGCATAGTAGGTGAACAGGGGCACGTGCTATGTGACCCTGGGCAAGCTGCTTCACATCTCTGAACCTCAGCTTCCTCGCATGTTAAATGAGGACAGGGACAGAACCTCCCTCATTAAAGAAACAGTGAGAGGGTTTCACATGGTCACACAGAGCACATCTGTAGCATATGGCTTACACGTGTGAGCTGAGCTGTGATTTTAAGAAAATGCTCACTGAGGGGCGCCTGGATGGCTCAGCTGGTTAAGCGTCTTCCTTTGGCTCAGGTCATGATCTCAGGGTCCTGGAACTGAGTCCCGTGTCGGGCTCCCTGCTCAGTGGGGAGTTTGCTTCTCCCTCTCCCTCGGCCCCTCCCTCCCCCTGCTCATGCTCTCGCTGTCTCAAATGAATAAATCTTAAAAAAAAAAAAAAATCTCTCATTGAAATCTGACACACGTGGAGAACGTGCTCCAATTCTGAGTGTACAGTTCAATAAACTGTCCCCAAGTGCCACACCCATCAGCCAGTGTGAGCCAGTCTAGGAAACAGAGCATTATCGCCCCCCCGGCTCCCCCGCTGTGCTGCTTTCAGTGGATGGAAGCTTCTGGCGTCACTACTGGCTGGCTGGCTGCTTCTCCTCCACGGTACGTTTGACTCGTGTGTACCGCGTGGCGCCCAGTTCGTCCGTCTCCACGTGTGCAAGCACACCGCCACGCACTGCTCCTCTCGGCCGTTTTCGGTCCGAGGCTGCCTGTCAGTGCTTGCTCTTTCCCATTTTGTCATTTCGGCCTGTGCTTCGCTCCGATGACGACAGCAGCTGCTGGCCCTGCTGGCAGGCCTGACCCCACTCCCTGGTTCAGGACCTCGAGGGCAGGCCTCGCAAGGATCGGAACACCGGCTGTGTGCAGCCCTGTGCATTCTCCTGGGGCCAGATCCCAGTGCGCGAAGTCCTCAAGGGGTTCTGTGGCCTAACAAAGTTAAGAGCCGTGTTCCAGAACGGCCAGACCCAAGGCAGTTTCTGAAGCTCAGGTGGCACGCACAGGATTCTTATTTGAGAGAAGACCCGCATTTCCCACGGGCACAGGTGCCATGGTGACGGGCATGTGACACCACGCTCGAGCCGTGACTGTAACCTCACTGCTGGGCGTCAAGAAAATGGGGTAACACGCTCTGCCAGAGGCTGCTGTGAAGACCCCAGGGCTGGCGCAGGGCTGGCACAGAGGGAGCGGCCATCGGTGGTGGCTGTCTCTGTAGTCACTCTGTGTCTTCTTCCTGACTCCAGAGTCGTCCCTCGAGGAGACGCCCCCGACCCGGGAAATCCGGCGTCCAGCTATGGTTCCGCCACGGACAGAGTGTGGCCCGGGCCTCCGTTCCTGCCTCCGTGAAACAGCGGAGGAGGTCTTGTAGCTCCTGGGTGTGAGCGCGCTCCATGGTCCCAGCAGCCCCCGCCTCACGAGGGCCCACGTCCTCACCTCCGCCGCGGAGCTTCCGCCGAACCGTGCGCCTCGCCATGCTCTGGTGAGCAGATCTGTATCCTCCGACAAGTCTGCGGCTTAATAAGTATCATTATCAGAGAGCACTACTTACTTCTCTGATTTCCACTTTCTGAGCTGTCAGCTGGCGTTCAATGGAGGCCCAAATAGGGAAACAGCCGCACGTGCCCCCTTTGGTCCCCTCAGTGGGAGGCTGGGAGAGGCCACAGCCCGCCGGGTGGCATTTCCATCACCCTGAGGCCAGCACCCCTGCCCCCGCCCCTCCCCCTGTACACAGAGAAGACACGGGGTGTGTGGACCACCGTGAGCAAGGGGCGCTTCGGGGGCTGGGGGGGAGGGGAGCTGGGGCAGGTTCGCAGAGAAAAGCACACCTGTGGGGGGACGAACGCTTCCAGGCCAGCGGAGTCCAGGACACCTCTTCCCCATTTCAATGATGCTGTGACAGGCTGACAGCGAGCACAGCCCTGGGGCTCATCTTCCTTTCCCACCCCAGTGGGACATGGCCCCTCCTGCTGGCAAAATCAGTGTCAAGGGCACAAGCAGGGCCTGAGGCCAGGACTTGGAGACTGCTCTCGGAAGGCCGAGGAAGATGCAGGATTTGCGTTGCAATCCCGCCACGGAGCCTCCAGTCCTCCTTCAGGGAAACAGGGACCCCCACCACCCCATGCACCCCACAGCTCTGAACAACAGGGGAAAAGTACAGACCAGAGCAATCTGCCCGAGTTCTAATGTTGTAAACATTTATTTAAAAAATACTACGGAGAGATGTGGATTCAAAAAACACAGAGTCATATACAGAAACAAAATGTACTGGACCAAAAAAAAAAAAAAAAAGACACCATAGGCATTTGAGAAGGGAGAATAGTGGAAAACTATTTACATGTCATTTATAAAAGAGCAAGTCTATAAAAGAGTGTAATACCAAGGTATAAATGCAAAATATAGTGGCACATCATGTGAACAAAGAGACCAGTACCTCCTGGAAACGCAGTCGAGAAGCTGGGTGGGGTCTGTTTTGCTTTGTCTGCAAGGCCTCTGGCGGTGTTCGAGGACCTCCCTCAGTCTGTGTAACACAGCAGCCTGGGGGGAGGGTGGGCAAAGAGGTGATGCGCCGTGAGGACAGCGTAAACCATCTCTACCAGAGAAATAAAATACAAGTTTAGGTGAGGAGCATAAAAATGGGGCCCACGTGCGCTCACGGCACGAGAAGGCATGGGGGTGGAAGGTGGCTGCTCCTGGTTTCTCCAAGGGCTGTTCCTGGGCCTGGCACGAGGCGCAGGCACGTGCCTGCCCACTCTTCAGTAGCTGCTCTAGGTCAAGCTCAAGACGGTCCGGCCTCTGCCCCACAAGCCTGGTCCAGGGCCGCGTGGGGAGAGGAGACAAAGGCCTGCTCTTTGAGACACGTTCTGGGACTTCATTTGTTTGTGGTCGTCTTCATCTCTGATAACCCCAACAGAAACAGGGGACTAAGTGTTGCTCATGGTGATTCAACAGGACGTTTGCCCCTTAGGGCACAGCCAACACTGGCTGGGGCTTTGGCTCCACAGTCCCTTTCCTCCCGTGTGCTGGTGGCCATGGCAGGTCCTGCTGTACCAGAGGTGGCTGGGCTGAGGGCAGAGCCACGGAATGCTTCAAGAACTCCAGAAAACCGAGGACTGGCTTGTCACACAGAAAGAGCTCTGCATGAATCTACTGTGTCTCAGAGGAGTACAAGGGAGGAGAAAGAGATCAGTCAGAAATCAAGAGCAAGTGCCTTTTCTGGGCACCTGGAAATCTGAAAGGAAGGTGACCTGGGCCCGAAGCAGACCTGCCTAGGCCTAGCCCCAGGCCACCTGGGCACCAGCTGTTCATCCAGCTAGCCATCCCTCCTGCCTCCCCTGCCCCGGTACGCCAGGCTGAGACCCTGCTACCCTTAGGACTCAAGCTTTCCATCCAGGATGAGCAGTGCCTGTCACAAGACAGCAAGGAACCGAGAGAACGGATGACAAGGACGGTCTCCCACACCACGGGCCTCTTCGGCTTCCCCACCTGTCCCAGGACCCAAAGGCCGGTTGGTCTTAGCACCCTGTTTTATCCCCCAAATCAAGAGCTGTCCGTCACACGAGCAAATGTGAGGGCACCAGCCCCCCGGCAGCAACAGAGGGCAGAGCGACCAGCTGGCAGCCCCTTCCAGGATGGAGTTCTGGAAACGTGTCTTCAGTGCAGGAAGCACAAGAAGAGGAGTGCACAGGCCCCCTCCCTGGGGTGAGTGGAAGGGACAGTTCCTCGGCCTTGGTGCAAAGGCTCCTGTTCAGGGCACTCGTTCTTGAGGGAAGTAGGGAGAAGGCAGAGCCAGAGGAGGGCCTCTGGAAAGAAAAGCGAAAAAAAAAATGCTCATCCGCTTTCCCACCTGGCCCGCAGAGCTCGGTCCTGAAGCACTACGTGGGCAAGAGGCTGGTGGGCCAACAGAAGTCCACAGAGCAGGAACTCCACAGACAGAACTCGGAACAGAGGCGGCTCCGGGAGCCCGGGCTGGGGAAGGGGAAAGTGCAGGAGCACAGCCGGAGCAAAACATAGGTAGTAGGGCTGTGTTCCACCGTGACCCTCAGCTCCGTCCAGCGCGGTGCTCCCGGGCCAACGTCCCAACTCACTGGTCTCGTGTCAGCCACTGTGGCAGGCGTGGGGAAGCCCTCACGCGCGGCAGGGGGCTCCGGCTGGCCTGACGCCTGGCCTCTGCTACCTCTGTACGATGTCACTGATCTCTTTCACGGAGCTGAGGAGTTTGCTGAAGTCCTGAGTGGCCGCCGGGCCACTCCCTGCTGTCGCCGGGCAGATCTGAAGCTCCCGGAGATTATTCTCCAGTTTGTTGATGGCCTCGCGGAAGGCGAACTTGTTCCTCATTTGCTGGATGGAATCCACATAGCTCACACAGAACGTGTAGAGGTTCTTGCCGGCTTCTAGCACGGCGCTGTGGCTGGCCATCTGCTCGGAGTTCTTGGAGATGGCCAGGCACAGAGCCTCCGTGCCATCCAGGACCACGCCCTTGGTGATGGTGCCACTGGCGATCCGCTCCGGAGGCTGGCGGGTTTTCCGAAGCGACACACGGGTCGATATGAGAGGGATGAAGGCAGTGGAGGCTGGCTGGTCCCCAGCCAGGGCGGAGGATGCCGATGGCAAGGTGGAGGGGGAGGGAGCTGGGCTGGTTGGGGTCCCCGCCGGCTTGCTGGACGACTGGGGCTTTGGCATGGACGGGAGCACGGGCTTTTTGACGCCCTCTCCCAGCGGACCGGGCTTGACGGTGTCACTGTTCACAGCATCCACGACCACGGCCGTGGCTTTGGCTTTCCCGCCAGTGCTGGCCTCCCCAGCTGCTTCCTGGCTCAGGCTCTGAGAGGGCTTCCCGGCCTTCCCACCGGAGGCTGGTGGCGGGGGCGGCGGGACAGGTTTGAGCTTGGACAGCTTCCCCTTGTCTCTCCCTGGGGACTCAGAGGAGGGCTTGTGCCTCCTCGCTCTGGGCTCCTCGGTGGGGGCCTTGCCGGTCCCTCCGGACGCGCCTGGCCCGGCTCTGCTGGCGGGGGGCACCGGCTCAGCTGTGGCAGGTGTCCCCAAGGCACCGGACTTCCCGGCCTCGTCCTTGTGGGGGAGGCCAGAGGAAGGAGCCCCCGCGACCTGCCTGCGGAGGAGTTTCGGAGTCAGACTGGGAGGGCTGGAGCCGGGGCTGGACTCCCCCGCATCTCGGAAGACCTCGTCCGCTGCATCCTCGGTCTTTTTCACCAGCCTGGGTGGGGGAGTCACCGTGCCTCTGGTCACCTGATCGGACCTGTTCTCACTTGCCCGCTTCCGAGGCAGAGCTGGCTTCTCGCTTTTGTGCCCTCCAAACGTGGACGAGTCGAACTGCCTCCCCGTGGACTGCAGGTCCCGAGGCAGGGTGACAGACCTCCACTCTGTGTCCCTGGCCCCGTGAGGCACGCAGGAGGCAGAGCAGGACCTTAGGAAGCGCTTGCCGGAGCTGCTGCCGCTCTCCTCCTCACCGGCCGCCAGGCGGCTGCTGGTCAGTGTACTGGACTTTTTCCACAGGTGGGGAGACCGGAAGCCTGCACCCCCTGACTCCCGGAAGGCTCCATTAGGGACGCCAGCTCCGCTGCTGGGCTTTGGGGACTTGGCTGGCTCGGCTGCGTCCGAGGGCGTGAGGGCTGGCGCCCCGTTGCTGGTTTCTCGGCCCTCTTCCTCACTGGGCGCCTTGCGCTCGGGCTGGCCGTCCATCTCCCGGAAGGAGCTGCTGCGTTTCGGGGGGGTTGGGGCTGTTTTCTTCTTCTTCTTGATCAAGGCACTGAACAAATTGGTCTTTTTGTCTTTGGGGAGAAGGCGCTCATCTTCATTTAGGGCGCTGTCCTGGGGACCTCGTTCTTTCCGAGGGAGCAGTGGAGACACAGGAGGCTCGTGGTCCAGAGGATCTGAAACATAGTGGGAAGAGTTTTCACAACTCCAGACTGGAGGCTCCTTTGTGGGGGGACCCTGGGGCTGGCCCCCTGTTCTCTACAGAGGAGCAGCCAAGGGTCTGGGCGCTGGTAGGCCTGCTTGTGAGCACCGGCTCTGCCACTCCCCAGCCTTGGCCTGGGCGAGGGACGCCTCTGCGTGCATCCTCCGTTCTTGCATCTATGAAACGGAGGGGAACAAAACACACCTGTAGTGTTGTTGTGTGAACATAATGCAGTGAGCGTAAAGCATTTGTCCCAGTTATCGGCACATAATTTCTAACTGTTGTCACCACTGTTAATATCATTAGGAAAAGCGTAGGTCTCTTTTCTGTGAAGACACCAGCACAGAAAGCTGGGCCCCCCATCCCTGCCCTGGGGCTTGACAGCGCAGAGCCCCCCAGTACCACTACCTAGCATGCAAAAACCACAACAGGGCTGAGCAAAGGGTCAGGCCCCATGCCTCTCGAACCTGCCAATCCATGTTCTTAGGAGGTGGGGTTTGAAGGGAAGGGGCCGCGCACCACAGTGACAATGGGCTGTTACACTTGGCAAACAAGAAGGAGTGACCTTTACAAATTTTTAAATGGGCATTCTTCATATATGAATAGTAACTCCTAAGAAATCTTTCTGCTGTTGCCAAGCTCCCGGCTAGGGAATGACAGACTTTTCCCTCAGAGGGCAGCTGTGAGGAGAGCGGCTTTCTGTCAGCACCCAGAGCAGCACAGAGGACGTCCACAACCGGAGCAGAGCTGCAAGGGGGCACCTGTCAGAACACCAGGAGGCACACAGGACACCTGACTCAGAGGAAGCCGAGGACCTCCAAAACTTTAATCCAGCGGAAGAAGTTGAAGAACGTGAAATCCTAATGAATTATGCACAGCTCTATTTCAGTGCTGAACAGCTAATTGACACTCCTGACTCACCATGAGATTACATATCAAAATACCCCTCAGATGAATACTGACGGGCATAAATGAACATGATTGCTTATCACTGGGCTTTTAATAAGCCTCAAGTTCCCACAGCGGCCTCTCCCCATCCCGGGGAGAGCTCAGCCACCTGAAATCATGACAGCTAACAGAAGGACAAAGGTCCAAGCTGCTGGACAGTCTATATGCCACGGACTCAAAAGTGGGTGAGCAAGACGACCCAGGGGGGTGTGGAAAGAAAGCATTATAATAATGTGGATTTTTTAACATAAACGTTTACGTCTAAGTGCACGTTTTTGGTGTATTTTATAATACACATGTCTGTGTTAGTACATATATATACTTAGGCTGCACATGTGACTTTTTTTTTAAACTAATATGGGTGCACAACAAAAAAAATTTGGGACTCCTGATATGGCTAAACATCTCATTTTTCTGGCTTTGTCCTGCCCCTTCCCACTCATCTGTGGTCCATCAGAGCATCCCCCAGGAGCCTCTACAAACCCAGATTCCCGGGGTTTTGCTGGGAGAGTAGCAACTGCTACATCAGGGCAGCCGAACTCAAAGGAGAGCAGGGCACAGGGGAGACAGGAGGTCAGTGTCTGCGGGCATGATTCCTCCTGACGCCTGAGACCCCCGGGCACCATCGCACCTCCCCCGCACGTCTAGGCACAGTGGCCGACAGAGTCTTTTCTCAGAGACCATGCGTGGACACCAGCTCTGTGCCGCGGGTGTCTCTTGGCTCCGTCAGTTCCAGTGAGCTTTTCATATCAGTGCTTTCACAACAAGCTGCTCATCGTTTGGTTCAATATTTATTATTGTTCTATCTGCCCTGCAAGAGCAACCACAAATGCTGTGAATAATACATGAAAAGTCGAGTCTGTTCTCAGTCGGTTTCATAAGCACCTGTGCCTACCTGACCAAACTAACCGCTGAAGCCAATGGTTCCTAATGATTCCCAGAAGGAGGGGCAGGATGCTGTGCAGAGAGGAGAACCTTCCTCTTTTCAAAGCTGGATCACTAACGAGGAATCTGCCTGCCCTTCTATGCAGGTTCCCTCGCTGCTTCCCATCTGCCTGCACTGGCCCTGAGGATGTAGACTCCTCTGGGTGTCTGGTGGGGCTGGGGGGACATACCGGTCTCTCCTGGGCCCTTGGAGTGGGGCGTCTCAGGCACATCAGTGGGGTCTTTGTGCTCCGCAGCTTTCCTGGAGGTTCTTGTCTTGGTGGGCAGCTCTGGGGCCTGCAGCAAAGTACTTGCAACCCCTCGCACACCTTTTTTCCCCAGTTCCTTTTCCACTTCTACGAAAACAAAACCAAAAATCAGTGGCCATCAGTAATGGTGTCAGTTTGGTATGCTGGTGTTTTTTGTTTTTTTCTCCTCAGGCAAGAGTGGTCATCCACGCAAAGTTACAGAGAAGAGATACAGATGCTGAGAAGACCGCACTCGGTACTTTTCAGAGTTGGGCATGGCTGTAAGAGAGCTCCATGCTCAACACTTCTGCCCAGTTCTCTGGTCTCAGAGAACTTTGCTGGTCTGGGCTTTTCTAGCAGGAAGTGAACTAAAGGGCCTGGCTGTCCCTTCCATCCTGACCTCTCACCCCACTGCTGCAGGCACCCCCAGGAATGGGCACTTTACCATCTGATATGCTGGATTCCTGGAACATTGTCTCAAAGGCTTGGTGGATTTCAGCAAAGGAGGGCCGGTCAGAGGGATTCCACTGCCAACCTGGACGGACGAAACCCAGTCAGACCATGCACGGGGCCCTGCTAACAAGTTGGGGGCTAGCAATTCTCAAGGAAAGTCTGGTAATGAAAGAAGCACCTCTTGGGCGCCTGGGTGGCTCAGTCAGTTAAGCATCTGCCTTCGGCTCAGGTCATGATCTCAGGGTCTTGGGATCAAGCCTGTGTCGGGC